TCGATTGCCCAGGCGCAACATCTCAACATCTGACAGCAACCTGTGCGGCCTGCCTTGTCCACGGCATCGCGGCCGGTTCGCTCCGCCCAGAGTCTCCATGTGGAGGAGAGGACGATTTGAGCCCCAGTCTCTCTCACGATCAGGGCAAGGGCCTGCGACGGCGCTACTTCGAACTTTGGCTCATAGGACCCATAGCTGTCTGCTTTCCAGTTTTGAACGCTAACTTAGAGTTCTCATTCAATCTGAACCTGTAGCCTATGATTGCTTTCAGGAAGCCGGACCAAACACAAGGTGCTTGCTTCAAACCCAGTCATTCTAACATTGCCATTCTTCAAAAAAAAACCAAAGCTGTGAAACCCAGCCAGTTGAAACTCTACGTTCCTTACGAGAGCTCAGTTGGTGCATGGCCGAACAGTTGTACCCTCGCTTGATCTCTGGCTCCATGGCCACAACTGCCTCTCAAGGTCCCTGATTGGCGTCTCAAATCATGTAGAACCGTGAGACAAACCTGAAGCATTTGCTCTCGGTGAAAATAAAATATCTGAATGAAAGCCAATTGCATATACGATGACACACGTTGGCCAAGCTGATGGCAAGTAGGGTAAAAGTGGACTTGTGCCCTTGCGTTCGTCCTCCCACGCGTGCCTACGTCAGACTTGAGGCAAGTGGTTTTAATCCTACATCAGCACAAAGGCAACAGGTTCTATGCGCTCTAAGCTCCAACCCTCCAACAGAAACAGTCCACCTGACATACCCCTTCCTCCCACCCCCTCGGAAAATAAACATGCACAGAACATTGGGTCCCGCCCACCGACCCCACTGCCAAACTCCGCACCTCCATACACGGCTTGCAGAAAGCTGTCGGCGCATAATTCGCCGCATGAAGGACCTGAAGTGCTGCGCATCCGACCCTCCCGTGAGTTGATTGACACCACTGAGCGAGGGCCTCCAAGCGGTTTAAGGATGATGCGCCAGGGCGCTAAAACATACACCACATCTTTTGAGGAGGGGAGTGCCTGGCTGGCTGAGCTCAACTTGATGAATCCTAGGTTCGCAAGTGACAACGAATGTCGAAGTTACCGCCCGGCGGCTTAGATTTGATATTTGTGGATTGGCAACTGGAGATCGGCTGTACACCACACAAGGACGATGCTTGCTCCGGGGACCGCTTGCAGCCCTGCCAAGGTTTCGTGGGTTCTCAGCCAACTAAATTGCAGACTCCAGATCTGTCAGTTGCTCGCTGTTTTGCGGAGGCTACGCGGCGTTTCTTACGCGCGGGAATTCGGTTAAGCAGAACGCATGCGTCGATGGCTACGCGAGGGCTACGCGACACTTCGACCAGGAAAGTGAATGAGAGAAAGATATTAATTCCCTTTCCTTTCGGTATCTTTTCATCCACCATTATCTCCTTCCTTCTGGTGCCTCCTCCTCCAGCCAATTATCTTAGAAATGGAGGAGGCATTGCATGGAAAGCTGTCATCAACAAAATCCCAGACAAAGGACAAAAAACATATCAAAGAGAAATAGCTTCAGAATCCATTCCTTCGTGTCATCTGGATTCTTCATCATCCCTCAGTTTGGCATGTCTAACTGGCACTCCATACGTTGTCCTTTGTTCCATTGGCACGGCATTTTCTGCAGAACGATTGGGCAGACTTGGGAAATTGATACCTCACAAAGTCGCGGCTTTGTGTTTTCAGCTTTGACTCAGTGTGCTGAGCACCGCAACCAACAATCCAATCTCGACACTGAACCTCAGGATGCCAATGGCCGAAAACCGAACACCTCGATCATGGATACGAACACGCGATCTTCCTTCACTTTTCGGTGTTTGCTTCAAGGTCCAATGCCTGCCAAAAAGCACCATCCACATCGAGGAAGATGACCTTCTTCTGAGGCTTGCTGAGCATTGAGCTCATCTCCTGGCTGTCTCAGACCCCAAGTTCGAAGCAAGTAGGGCAAGCTTGCGGCGCTGTTTGCGCCCTGCATCATGTTTTTACAAACTGCACTATCAACCGTTGTGTCTTATTCTTTGCCGTGCATGGACAAAAGTAGTGATCCGAGGCGTCACAGCCAAGAGTTGAACCCTTTGGTTCTCAACCCCACCTCAATCCTTTGGCGCACTGCCTCAAAGCAAAGCTATGAACAAAACTCGATTGAAGCAAGCGGGTATTGGAGCTCATATTGGCGTGATGCAGGCTTGCTTTTTTAGAGTTGGTTTCCATGCATCATTGCTTCGGTTGGTGTGGCTTCTGTACAGGAGCCCAAGATGTTTACATTGTGAACAGTCTGTTTCGGAGCTGTCACACGCCTCATTGCCCTCCAAACACATTAGTTTTGTGCCGTGTTCTGTACAGGTGTCAGGCTGTTCTGTTGGCGGCTTCCAAAGGGCTAGCCTTCCAGGCGCATCAAAAGCCTGATGACCAAAAAGAACCAGATGCCACGATCCGAATCGAAGCGTTCGGCCTTCGGAACCCCTGGTTCCCACAAAAAAAAACATCGCGAATCGTATCCTCTTGCTGAGCTATACAAGGTGGCACAGAACGAAAGCTTCAAGATCTAGCGAGATTCAATATATATATATAAATATAAACTTAGATACCCACTGTTGTATCCCACGCCTATCGAAATTGTGAAACCAGTCATATTGCGTGTTCGCAATTTCTGCACTGTCAAATGAGAACGTAATCGAAACAACCCAGTCGATCAAGATTGGTTGCCTGGGAATGTGTTGTTCTGTCTCTTGTAATTCGCCAGTCGCGTTGTTTGTTTGGTTTTTCCCGTGGGAATATGTTGCTTTGTCTCTTGTCAGGCATGTTTGACAGGGTCTGTGAACAACCCGTGTTGAGGCCACGAAGTTAACCGAAAAGCTGCGACAGGTTCGTAAGTTCACACTTCTCCCGAGGCTGAGAGTTGCTGATTCTTTTACAGGCTACAAAAACAAAGTAGTCAGAAGGGCAGGATGTCTTTTGCTGGCTCCTGGTGAATAATGGCTTCATAAGCAGCTCGCGCTATTGAAAGAGAGGATACTTATACAACACTTTGAGATAGATTGAGCCACAGCAAATAAGTCATGAGCGCTCACTTGACTCATCCGAAAGTTTTGCCGCGACACAAATAATGCCATTTCGATTTCTGGGAATCTGCACCCACTTACAATAAAATGCCCCACCCTTGACAAAGTCATACAGCTTAAACATTATTTTAGGGGTCCCCAGTTCCAAGTTTGGGGTGTCTAATTCATCTGCTCGATGCTTAAAGTACTCCTCCCTTTCTGGGCCCCATAAAGCTAACGGATGCTTCCCTACAAGGAGTTTAAAAGGGAGCAGCAAACATTTGTTTCCGAAAAGGGACGCTTGGTGACTGATGGCAGGGGGTCCCCTCATAAGACTGGGAGAGAAGTCGGTGGGAGACATCGAGCTTAGTATTGGTTTCAAATTGGGCTATTCTAACTTAGTACTGGCCTCCTGGGAACTTGAAAAAAATAACTATCGGGACCTTGATTATTCGGGGGAACGCAAAATGAATCTCGAATTCCGCAGTATCTTCAATCCCCCGTCAATGAATGTAAGACGAAAGGTCAGACTGGAATCAGGCCAGCTGGCATGATGCGCTCATTCCAAGACACCTGTGACATCAGCTGTATGAAATCCCAAGTGGTACTGGAGCCTAGCGAACTCTACTCGACACATAGCAAGGGCCGTCATATTTCCCAGTCGCACCTTGCTGTTGAGGCTGGTGCGGCGAGACACTCCCTTGGCAGCGAGGCACCACAGCAAGTGTACCCGTCCGCTTTCACTCTAGAGACTCTGTGTTGCCTCCCTCCAAAGCCTTTTCACAAACAAGTTACATGCAAACACAAGCTATCCTCAAGTCTTTTGAGCGCCAAGAAGCTGCGGAGCCTGAGGATATCATGGTGGAATTCCAGGAACCATCAGACTGCTTCGGCGAGTCGAACTTCTTGGGCACGAAGTCAAAGACCGTCAAAGGGGCCGGCGCTGCGGGGCACTCATCACATTCGAGTGGTGCCCGAGGCTGGACTGGGAGTGGCACCCGATCCATAGTCTCGAGCCACAATCTCTCTGGCCGGTGACGTGCTTGACTCTCGCCAGTGGCAAAAGGGGCACGAATAGCAACCCTGCAAACCGAAACAGCAGAAGTCTTCATGGTTCAGCTACTGGTGACTGGCCTTCTGCCTTATTCTGCCATAGGTGCTCATATGGCCAATAGTATCCAAGGGCGCATGTGTTTTTTTTTTCCTGGTGGACGTCGACAGTCGCTTGTTCCTGGTTGCCCCCGAATTCTGTGCCAGGCCCTTATGGAGATGTTAACGCAGCTTGTCTGGGCAATACCAATACGGAACATCAATATTACTCTGCACCTCAAGCAGTCCGCGATGAGTGTAAATGGTGCGTATAGAAAGGTTATGCAAGATGTGTGTATTTGCATGTGTGCGTGTGTGCGCGCTTGTCAAGAGAAACACATGTGCGAAAGTGTTGCATTAAGTCTGTCGAAACATGCTGGGGTCAACTTGACATGATTTGGAAGGTCACGAGAGGCACTGGGGGGCAGCGATAATCTTCTTTGACACCATCCTTCAAGCGCTCAGCATCCAAACAGGTGATGTGTTTTCTCAAACACGCCCGTACACATATACACTGCGCTCCCGAAGAATTTCAACTTGCAGAATCGGAGTTTTGAAGCATGTTGCTTCTCGGAATGAACCTATTTAGCACAGCATTGAAGCAACACAACGTGCTCTGATATCTGCAGCCCTCAACACACAACGACAACATGTCATTGGGGGAACACATGAAATATATCAGCATGACATCATGGGACGCATGCCCAGTGGCCATGGGAAGCAAGGTACCCTTTGTTTTTGTGGTTGACTTTAAAGGGAAACCCTTCCCAAAAAAAAGAAGGAAAAATGGGCGCCACTGGGCAACTGGGTAAGAGGTCGGAGCAAAGGACGTGGGGTCGGACGTGGGGTCACCTGCCTCATGAATCGCCTCGATGCGGCCAGTGTAGAAAAGCACGCGCTCCGTCAGCGTCGTCCTCACAGAAAACAGGAAAACGCAGCGAGGAATTCCATTTTGGAAACAACACTGACTGTCCAAAAGGGAACGACCGGCGCATCTTGGAAGCCTCAAGCTCCTAGGTCTTTGGCTCATGATGCTCCCGACAAATTGGAACAGTCATGTGGAGGTCCAATGTGCTCAAACATGGGCTAAACTAGGGTCCACTGTTCAAGATAAGTAGCCTGGCTCTGAGCTTAGCAGGAATATTCGACCACGCGCCAACAACGAAGGCTTGGTCTCCTTGTGGCTTTCTTTAACAATGCAAAGGTTTCATGAACTATGAACTGCTCCACTGAAGGCATACTATATCTGGATCCGATACAGTAGATGCCATGCAGTGCACGCCCATCCGGCTCGTCTGACCCCCAAGGGCCGAGCTTTCCGCTGTCAATGTGTGCCTGGGCGCATCCATCGAAGACATGTGTTGATGTAACGAACACCTGACGCAAAAATATTGAACATGCAATGCAATTGCTTGCAAGTCTCAAATAATAGTCGAATTGGTTCTGATGTCAAACGCCTGGAGAACATGACTCATTTGCTGAAAGGGCTGCTGGTTGGGAGCTAAACTTTGAGCCCGAGCAAGGGCAAAACAGAAAAACACACATCCCTGTGGATGCCAAGGGCAGACATCATCTGCCAAAGCATGTTTTGACAATCACTCAAGGCTGCCAGGCCTGTGTGTTCATGCTACCATCACTCGAGCTCTGGCTATAGTGTTTGGCAAGATGAAGAAAAGCATTAAAAGGGAAATGGAAGTTTTAGTTTATGGCAAGTTAAAGCCTTTGCCCTGGCCTCAGCAAAAACAACAGCGTGGCGTACCGTAGCAATGTACAAGCCTGTGTTGGATACGTCTGCTCCTAATACTGACATGGACAAAGGATGTCATCTCCCTAAGCTTCCAATGTGCTCCGCCGTCTTTGATGAAGCTGCTTGGCCCTTCACCGTTTAACGTGCTTGTGGCCTGCCCCAAATGCTACCAAAGGCCCGAAGTCACATGGGCACATGTCGCTAGTTCCGGGTTTGTCCAAAAATTGTGGCCTCATTTTTTGCCCGGGACGGATATATCTCCGTTGGTGACGGATCATGGCGACCTTTCTTCACCTTTGACACCTTGGCCGAACCACCCACCCAAAGCAAAACAGAAATTCAGGCCCTTGGAGTGAAGCAGCATGCTTTTGAGGGGAGCGGCAGGCCTGCTGCAAAAGCGCCCTTTTGGGTCTCTGCTGCACAAACATTTGACCCACCACATCACAGACATCTCTGAGAGATCTGATTGCCAAATGCTGAGTGCCGAGCTGAGATACCAAAATTCCGCATCTTGGACTGGTCCAACTCGGCGCGTAGATCGCTGACAGCACCAAGCCACTGCTCAATGGCCCCCTGGAGTTGCCTTTATTGTGGATTGAAAACAAGCGAACAGCCGAGCACATTGCCCCAAAAAGGGGCAAGCTAGCATTCAAAACACGTTTAACCACGCGCCACATGGTGTCCATTTTGTAGTGTCGTCTTCATGGTCAGCAAACCTGCCCTGTCAACTGAAAAACAAGGTACTCGCAGTAAGCTGTAGACAAGGAGCCTCACGAAAACGACAAGCCAAACTTGCCACACGTCAAATCAACTCCTGGCTGCCAGCCAGGATGCTGACGGTGATTTGTTTGGCAATAACAGGCAGGCTTTGTGGGATAACATCTCCACTGTGGAAAGCCAACATGGACTTGGACCCTCATTTGTTTGGGGGGGGACATCTGGGGGGGGACATGGGGCATACATGGCCACAGTGGTTGGAATCCTGCAGCCCATACTCCTCCGAGCAGTATCTTTTACGCACCTCAGCATCAGGCCGGAGCAGCAGCTGCGGCAGCGTATCTCGAAAGCACCTGACAAAAGGTGGCAGCCAATTATTCGCTGTCGCAACACGCCGTGGACTAAGAGGCTTATCTGAGACAATCTGAAATTAAAACCACAAGTTTGGCAAAACTTGGTAGTTCTCGCTCTTGGTTGCTTTAGTTTCGGCAACTACTGGTCGCCACACAAGCAGTGGCTAAACCCAACAGGCACTGCAAAACCATGGAACAGCACAAGCAGGGTTTCACTTTAACACTCACTTGCGGAAGGAAACAAGTACAAGGAAGCCTCAAAAGTGTGGGATTTCTCTTGAGGGTCGCTTGATTTCTCATTGAAAAAAATGTGTCAAAGGGACTGAAGCAAATGCAGAACATGGCAAATTCTCAGGCTGATGTTCGAAATAATGTCATTTGACCATCTGCTCCCATGAGTGCAATTGTGATCACAGTCACCTGACTGCTGAGCAGCAACCAGCGGGCGGCAGTATATCAATGTGCGCTTTCTGCACTCATCGGCGCTGACATGCATGCTCATTGAGCTGAAACCATGATCTCTGACAAGTCATCACTGAAACGCCCGTGAGTCCTTCCCAAACATCTGTTGTTAGTCGTCTGCTAGCTGAATGGAACAATACATGGATCATCATCAACGGCAGATCGCAACAAGGCAACCGCGTTTCGCAGCAAGAGATATAACTTGTTTTGATTATGGTCCAACTAATGTTATCAATACAGGCTCCGCCATCAGTATTGCCTCTGTTGATCTCTATTGATCAGAAGAAACAAGTCATCGTCGCCAGCGCTTAGCCTTCCAGTCTTTACCTGAGTCATAATCAAAACCCGGCATTAAAATGGTCTACCCAGAAAAATGTAAAGAATTAAGAAGCCGGCCGCAACTATTTCTGGCTGGGAGTCTCCCTTACTAACCTCCATCTACCCGAGTTTTGACTGCGGCTCACCTGGAATCACAAGGGCTGGGCATCTCCAGAAAAGCAGGGGGTGGCCTGTTCCAATGTCCAATTCCTTCAGAACCATCGGCTTCTGCCGAGATGGGGCCTCAGAAAACCAAGACGTCAGCTCCTGAATGGAATACCCTTGCACCAGCTAACATGCAAGTGCACAAACCCCGGTAGAAAGACGACTTTCCTCTTGGAAAGGGCCTTCTTGCACTTCCGTGTTAGTTGGTGGGAGGGTATGTGTGAAGGAGCTGGGCCATGTTTCAGGCCAATCAACCAGTTACAAGTTTGACTCTTGGGTCAGTTGAACCAACTGAGAAGATACGGTGGACGAGTGCCCGGTGGACCCCCGTCTGGAGTGCTGTTTGGGCGCCTTGGCCCATTGAGCTGCGCGGGCAGGCGTCGCCTAGCCCAAAGCCAAAGTCCCCAAAAGCCTCCTTTTGTGACTCTTTTGTCGGGATATTGCAGGAGAGTAATGAGGATCTCGTCAGCAACTAGGCAACATTGGGAGCTTCTTGTTACCCACATTTGTTCCCTCTTTCTGTTCATGAAGATCCGGACAACGAATGAAACACAAACTCTGCCAGCTAGTCCCCATCTGAAATTGAACTAGGAGCACTCAGAGAAGCTCTTTGAAGCTTAGACTAGAAACTGCAACCAACATGGGCAATTGAGCTATTCAAGAGCACTTCAATAACCGAATAGTTGAACATGTTGGCTTGACAGAAGTACTGCCAGGCCACACCCCAAAGTGAGCCTATAGGCACACAGGTCCCCCCGACACTGTCACAAGTATTGATTGCCACAAGGGACATACTTTATCACGAGGAGGGATCACCCTACTTGCAAACTCCGCCAATTTGCAGAGTCTTGGCAAGGTGCATCTGTTGACGCACTTGAACAACTCGGCGGAATGGACCTTCAGAATGGCTCGTCAATGACCATCCTAGCATCGGTTGAGCATCACATCCACAATCCCGCCCATACTGTGACAGCCTGCTGCATTCCATATCGAAAGCAAAGCGCGAAGCAAACAATCGCATCAAAAGACAGCCGTAGCACCGGGGACTATCACAATTTCACTTGCCCAAAGAACCTGGAACTAAAAGGTTGACCTTGTGGGGCCATGACTAAAAATGGACCAAACAGGGGAAGCCAAAAGGTCAAAAGGCCGGCTGTGGGCAAGTGAGCAATAGGGGGCAGTGAAGAAGTTCATTTGGCACAACTCCAAACATGTCCGAGTCAACAGTTCACAAGCAGACATTCCTGCCTGGCGCAAGCATTGGCTCAAGGGAAGCATAGTAGAAATGAACTTGCAAACTTTTGGCAATAATAGTATGACTCCTGAAGTCTCTCCTCTGGATTGTGAGACAACACTCTTCCATAGATCTGGCACCAGAATATTAAAACAGAGAAGCCAGCCCAAAGCAAACATATGCCCACAGTTTGCCTCACCACGGCACCCAGCCAATGTGCTTGCTGCTTGTGCTTCCATGATAGCTAAAATGCTGTCCAATATCCGGCGCGGCGAGAAAGGTGTGTTTCCATGGCCCTCTCTTCTCGTTTTTCGTTTGGTCTTGTCTCACAAGCGATCTCAATGTCTTCGCAGCTCCTGGAAGGCAAAGAGGGAAACCGGATGGAGAGCCCCAACAAAAATCAGCACGAGGGAACCGGCCATCTTTCCGAAGCACTTGGCATGCAAGCGATGACAACACTTACTTGATAGTGGCGTGGGGAAACGCGTTGCATGTCCCTGGAACCCTTTCTGGTTGGCCTGTGGAATGTGGCAATATATAAGGGGTCACAAAAAGATGGCACACACAAACAGCCACACGTGTGCCGGCATTCGTGAGTTTAGCCGTTGTTTCGTGCGCCCACGGAGCTGACAACAAAAGGGAACCCAAGCATGGCACACAGTGACCAACCTTCGTTCTTGTTCGGCTCTGCAAACTTGTTCATCGATTAGTTGTGGCAAAATCATTGCAGAGTGACTAGCCTGTGCTTAGGATATAGCTAAGGAGCTGGGGGTGTCCAATTTACCTTTTACAAAGGGAGCTAGGAGCCACCAGGAGTGCCACAAACTTTGGAGCTTTCTACAGTTGAGGCCGGCTGAGCTGACAAGAGCCAGCGTGTGCCAACTTTGGGTGTAGAGAGCTTCTGCAGTTGAGTTTAACAGGGGGAACAAGGGGTGCACGACCGCCGAACTCTTTCAGCAGTGCGCAGTGATGAAATTGGCCGCGGCCGCTTTGGCGCTTGGGTCTCTATGAGTCGCCTACCCCGTTACATGAATCTCCCTTCCATGCCCCCTCCTCTGTCAGAAAGTTGTTTTCTGGGGCCAATGTGCGCGTTGCTTGTGAAAAGGAGAAGTGTTTTCCTCGTGATGTATTGTCATTCTGAGGGGAGCTCGGGATCCGTGCTTGCATTGCCAACTTTTCCTACACAAAAAGATGGATTTGGGCCCGGCAACTGGGATCAGAAAAGCTGCCACAATAAGAAGGCACATCCAACGCACGCTTAGTGCGGGCCATCTTAGTCACGACCCCAAATCATATCGGATTTGGCTGGTATGCCATCTTAGGCACTGGGGTGCATGTGCCATCAAAGACCGCCTATAGGCCTTTAGGCCTTCAGCAAAACGCACCCAGCGCTAAGCAGGCGATCTGGAGAGGGGGGCCGAGAGCTGCGTAAGATTCGGAGTTGACTGGCTCAAGATCTACCTGGCTAAGAGTCAGTGTTCAAATCGTGTTGTTGCTCAGCTTGGCTCAACTGGACAATCAGAAAAGAACAGCATCTTGTGCAGCATGCGCGAGCGTGATCACCCTGGTTTGTGCCTGTTACCTTCATGCGGGGCAGAACCAAGCAACACATTGCGCAGTCCGTATCTGCAGCGATTCATGAAGGCAGGGACCCAACCTGAAAAGAATAAGCCAGAGAAAAAGACGTGTCCCCCGGCATCCACCAACCCAGGTGGGCACATTTGCTCAAATCGCAGCTGGCCACTGAATCTCGACTCCTCTCACATGGCGAACTTGGCGTTCCAGTCTTTTGCTGCGACGGGGCGGCGAGGAGAAGGGTGACCAGGAAGCCAAAAGATACTTCACGCAACATCAGGTCACTGCTAGCGAGGTGGCCAAATTTGTCAGCCGCATCTTGAATCGCGTTTTCCTTTCAATACTGGCAGCTTCAACCGTATCCCAAATCGCAACAAAGGCACCATGCTGAGGATTAGGTTGAAGGGGACAGGTCAACTCCAATGCTGCAACCCGGAGAGTGGACCCGCCACGTCCTCAAGCAATGGGTTCAAATGTTGCGTGTTTGCCCATGCCATCTGCCAACCAATACTAAGGAAGTCAGTCCGAGCAACCTCAAGGTCCCTCAAAGAGCGTTGTAGTGTCCAAGGGCAAGTTCTTTTGGCAAAGCGGATGTCATTTGGGTGTGGCTCAAACTTCGAGACAGGGGGCCACAGGTTTGGGGGGGTTTGTGCCATCACCATCAGCTTAACTTGCCAGGTGCTCTGCGACTAAGCAATGCGACTTGCATCAACTTGTTTGGAAAGAATTCTTTGGAATGGCAATCAGGGGTTCCCCCAATCACAAACCTGTACTGCCAACAAGAGAGTGTTGACATAACCCTAACATGAAACCAGCCATTTGGAGGAGTCCAGGTCCCGGTTCTGACTAGCCATGCGTCACATGCACTCCGAATAGCCCCTGTTTTCGGACATCCCCATCCCCGGGTTTTGCGGGGCTCTGCCTTGCAACTCGGCTCCAGCGCGGTCTTTGGTGAAGTGGTCAGCGACGTTGGTGTCTTAGCAAGAAGCGACTCTCATGGAACGGGCCCTGAAGCGCGCATGTCCAGCTCCACATTAGATCGCCACAGGGTATCTCCAACTCGGGGATTCGTTTGGCCCAGGAAACCTGTGCTTTGAACTCTTCAACCCAAATGATTGAACCAAGGGCCCGATTCATAACAGGGGATGGAGCCGCCGCTTAAAGGGTGTTCGACACAACCTGCAGCAACCTTGGGGCTGGGATCCTGTTCACACGCTCTCAGGAAAAAAACTCTCAACTCAACTATGATACCTCCCGCCATCTCCCGCCCACGCCGAGCTTCCACAGCAACCTGGATGTTTCTCAGCTGACCCCATACCGGCTCCATGAGCTCTGACAGTGCTAGGCAAGGGTGCGGGTAAGCCGCCAAAAGGGTCGGGCATTTGCGGTCATTGCGAAGCATACTTTGAACATGTATCAGCCCTGTGGGAAGCAAGCTGTGATGAAAGAACGATAGCAAAGTGCACGTCTTGACCTTGTTTCAGATCGCTGTATGCCCCAAAACGCATGTAGGCATTCCCAAAAAGCACGGGCAAACACATTAACATCTTAGGGGTACAAAACAATGGGGGCTGCGCACGAGGTGCTACAGGGACGGGTTTTTAAACTGGGCAGGCCACCAGCCGCCAACACGAACATCCCATCTCAGGAAGATCATGGCCTCTTAGAAAAACACACGAGAAAAAAAAGAACAAAACAACCCAACAATGAAGCAAGAGGCCCTACAAAGCAGACACACCTCTGTGCAGGCAGAACAGCCCTTGTGAACCTTTCAAAATCCACGCTCCTCGTTCTTAGCACGCCCCCCTAGAAGCCTATTCACGTAAAGAAAATCCCTCATTTCGGTGTATCGCACAAACGAGATCATGTGAGATGGAAGAAGGACATTTATGTGCAGCGAGCTCTTAGCAAACCTCCCATCAAGTCTTGTGCTGATTTCGGGTCAATAGCTTGAGCAGGTAATACCACGGTGGCATGCCACACACACACAAACCATCCCTGACAAAAGGCACACCGTGGACCACCCAAAGGGCAGACCCTTGACAGCCCTTTTGCCCACCCAACATGACTACTATCACACCATGCGGCACAACAGGGTGCCTGTAATGCAGGACAAAAAGGGCCCGTTCTGCTGGGAGGCTCGTTGGGGACCTGGAACAATGGGAAACTCGTGGGAACCTGAAGGACTGCAAGCTGGGCGCTGCACCCAAGGGATCGGAGGGCTCTGGCGTGCTCAGTAGTGCCTGTGGGAAATCGGAGGTTGCGAGGTTTGAAGGTCTGAAGGCGGGGGTTGGAGGTCTGAGGGGTTGGGCAAGCGAACCCTGCTAGAAATGAGATGGAGAGAAGGGTCCCCCAAGCCACCTCCTCTCAACGTACCTTTCTCTCACACGACAAACCACAAGTGAACCCCCCCAAAAGGTACATTTTACCAGGAGTTCCTCGAATTGCCCCAACGGCCTGAATGCTGAGCAGCACGGTTCGAATTTGCAGTGCCGGACTCCACTTGTCCTGGCGCGCTTGCAAAAGGAATCCGTCGGGCTTAAAGACGGGGGATGAACTCCCTGAGCAGCTGCACATTAAATCATGGGCATGGATATTGCAGGGCATGGCGCGCAGGCAAACACAAGCGCACCTCCTATGCACATTCATACACATACACATAGATACAGAAATGCACGTGCAAACGCACACACACACACACAATACAGGGCAAACAGAAGAAACACCATTTTTTTCGGGCAAGGCAGGAAGACTTTTGTTCCTCAGAACAAGGGTCCGGACATTTCAGCAACAAGCTGATGATTTCGCTTCCCTCGTGATCGTCATGAAATACTCCAACATTGGGCAACTGTGAGCTTCACAGCTGGCAGTGCCAATTCACATCAGCTGACAATTCACTCAACACTAATGATTCAATGCGGGTTCACTTGGCTCATGGAATCGCCCATGGCTTCGATTGCATTCCGCCCCCTGTGGCCAAAATCGAGTGGATTGCCATGCTGCACCATTCGGTGTGTCACCGACTACACCCTTGGATCAATGCAATTAACTATTGGCTCGGCCGGGTTTGCAGTTGGATGCTTGACCCGAGTTGCAATAGCACTCTCAAGTCTGCAAAGGCTGAACGTGCTTGACTACGTTTTACTATTCTGCGGACGCCGCTGTTCAAGCACATGCGAGGCGCGAGAAGCACATGAACAAACACGCAAAGCCATTGAACAGCATGCCAACACAAACATATATGTCCACGTGCTTGTATATACATCATATATGTATATCTGCAAATTGTACTTTCGCTCCAAAAGCTGAATTCACGGATCCCCATGTAAAGGACCTTTTTCGCGGGGAGCTCATCATACCCCTAGGTGAGCTCCCAAAAAAATGGCAGAACTATGTTTGTGTATATATATATATTATGTATGTATGTATGTATGTGTGTGTGTATGTATGTGTGTGTATGTATGTATGCATGCATGCATGTATGTATGTAATGTATGTAATGTATGTAATGTATGTAATGTATGTAATGTATGTAATGTATGTAATGTATGTAATGTATGTAATGTATGAAATGTATGTAATGTATGTAATGTATGTAATGTATGTAATGTATGTAATGTATGTAACTTGGTAGTGTATGTAGTGTATGTAATGTATGTAATGTATGTAATGTATGTGATGTATGTGATGTATGTGATGTATGTGATGTATGTGATGTATGAGATGTATGTGATGTATGTAATGGACGTAATGTGTGTAATGTATGTCAGGTATGTAAGGTATGTAAGGTATGTAATGTATGTAATGTATGTAATGTATGTAAAGTATGTAATGTATGTAATGTATGTAGTGTATGTAATGTAATGTAATGTCATGTAATGTCATGTAATGTAATGTCATGTAATGTCATGTAATGTAATGTAATGTAATGTATGTATGTATGTATGCATGTATGTATGCATGGATGTATGTATGTATGCATGCATGTATGTATGTTTTTGTTCGAGGCTAATTATGCTACGCGCGATCCGGCACGAATCTTGAACATAGGTATGTAACGTGGTGCATGTTACGTTGGTGCGTAATGGGAAATCAGTGCTTGACAAGTAATGGTAGGCTGGGGTTGGGTATGTAACAAGGTACGTAACGAGGTATGGCACAGAATGGATTCTTTGTAACAGCTCCCCCTGCTACCTGTTCCATTTGTGCTTCTGAATGGCAAGCTCTTTGTGAGTTGACTCTCTCAGAGGGGTGTCCAGCGAAAGCTTGCTCTGCAAAAGTCTGCTCTGCAAGCACCCATGGGAAATCGGAGTGTGCCCGAGGGGCTACCCAGGCGTTTTGTTGATGTAAGATAGAAGGTATGCAATGAGGGTATGCAACGAGGGTGTCAAGTCCACAGCCGTGTTGATCCTGGAACATTCGCCAGTGGCTCACCACAAAGAGACCGACCTTGGTTGGGAGATGTGCACTAAAGTCATGTGATTTCCCAACGCGCAAGGCGTCCCAGGGTCCTTCAGCACATCAAGGCAGATGCGCCCCAGCTTGTCCTAGCACAAAGCAGCCTGCACCCTCTACCTCACGATGTGCGTTTCTCCTTCCCAGACAGGGGGGCTCAATGTGATCAATAATAATGGACATATTGCGGCACCCACTGTTGGAAGCAGCCTGGGGCTCCCGAGTATTCAACTCAAAGAGCCTTCACGGACCAATCTGATAATCATGTTCCTGCCTCGTTGCCAGCGTGTGTGTGTTCAATCTTTGGCGAAAACGCGAGCCAACAAGGGATGTTTTCTATCTGCATGCTAATACTGTGCATATGCATACATTTTGTCTTGTTCTGTTTATAGCTGTGTGTGTGTGTGTCATACAAACATCATATTATAATATGTTTATATATCATGAGCTGCAAATTTGTCATGTGGCTGAATGGTCAGGTGTTCCCACCTCGTTCTCCAACTCTCTACCTGTTTGCCTCATCGACCTCGTCTGTTGACAACGCCGCTTGTGATTTTAATATCAACTACCTATACCTTTACTGTAGTCTTCCGTAAATCCAGGAAGTTGCTCATACATACACCACTTTAGGCTTCTTCTTTTGGGAGCTTACAGCTAGAGAAGGCACTTGAAGATCTGGTAGAAAAAACACAATTGAATGGAGGTCCGCTCGTCCCCGAGCCGCGGGCAATGTTCGGATGATAAATCTTCGTGAGGAAGCGAACCTGCCAAGAACACCGCAGCGAATGCCCCAGCATGCCCCAGCCAAAAAACAGATAGGTACAACCGCCGAACAAGTTGGATGGTATCAAACTGGGTTCAACTGTGAAACAGTGGGAGGACAGGTAGCCGTCAGTGGGAGGACACTCGCTTGAAAGTCAACCATTCGCTGATGGGCGGGATGGGGAAAGCAGCATGCTCCATGCATTCGGAATCCACGGTACAAATGAAGTCCCTTTGAAGAAGGTCAGAGTCCATCCCTATCAGCTCCGAGTGAGCCCCTCCTTAGTTCCGAATGGATAGTTCGATCCACTCTCAAAGGGTCAACGTCCTGATTAAATGTGGTGTGTGGATGAGCGATACTGAGACACCGGCCTCAAATCAATGGACTTACTTGCTCGGAGGTACGCAAAGCACACCTGAAGACACAACCGGCTGACTGCCTGGTTTGAAAAGCGCTGGAACTGGCCTTCGGGGGCTCCATGGGGTAGCCTTCTGGCAGGAAGAGCTCCAAGCGATAGTTGCCACCTGGCCAACCGTGACACCCACACGCACGCAGCCGCAGAAGACCAGTATGAGAGTCTCACTGAAGGAAACAAAGACTGCCAGATTGAGAAGCCAACTTTAGTGAATGCGGACGAAGCTGGCTGCCAGTTAATGCGGATGAAGCTGGGAAGTTCGTTCAATATTTGGGCCGTCTGGTTCGACCCAGTTGCAGATCGACCATTTGTAAAAGGGGTCTAGGAAAAGGATTGTTTAAACCAAACGCAAATCTAAACAATATTTAAACGTTCTTTGTCTGTTGCCAGCTCGACCCCGTGACCACGCAGCTGGGAGTGGACCACTGGTGTCCAACATGTTTAATCATGTTTGAAAACCTGGCTCGAACATGTTTAGATGTACCCCGCACCTCTCTTCTCGGACCTCGCAACGGAACATATGATATTAATTAGTAACGCCACCGTCGTGGGCAACCTTTTCACGACGTGTTTAAACGACATGGTTTCACCACGCCTCAACATGCCCCGCGCATCTCCGTCGGATTTGAAATCTCGCGCCCAGCTACAAACATTTTAAACCATGTTATCGAACATCAGGCATTTGCACTGACAATCAGCAGCCACGAAGGGCCGGACGAAGGGACAGCAGTCAGACGTCGTCTTTGGGAAGCGCCAATAAAAAAGCGATGATACTTCAGGGGAATCAATCTTGCTTTTACGGAAGCTCACGACTCATGAAATCCTGAATCAAATCGCTTCAACTAGGCCCGCATGCTGCCAAAAAAGCCCACCAATGCCATGAGTAAGCTGCAGCAATGTTGTTGTCTGCAAACACTTTGCCAACACGGCCTCTACAACAAGTGTTGACTTTGGCTCACACATCCAGGGTTTCGCTGCAGAATGCGAATGCCGCTTGCGCGGAAAGGACACTGCCCGCTCCGCATGCCATGCCCAAGCTTGCAGCTCAAACAGGCGGGACATCAGAAACCAGTTACTGGAAATGTGGTTTGCGCTTCATCCTGTTTCAACATCAGCCCTTGGCGCACCTTCGTACGGAGTCCCTGTTGGCCCAGACATCATGATGTGAAAGTAGCGGTAGTTGGCCTGATGTTGCGCTTCAAGAAAGCTGCAGATCGCTTCGAAGCCAACGAAAGCTCACAAAGGAAACACTGCAGCAAATGGCAAAGAAAGCTAAAACCTTTGGCCCACACCTTGCTTCAGATCCTGGACAAATACTTACTTACCGCTAGCCCTCCTGCTTCAGCTCTGCTCACGAACGCATTTAGCGCACCAACTACCCCAAATTACCCTGAAATCCTGTCAGGTTCATGGAAAATGGCTCTTACACATAACAATATGAACATCAAATCGGCACGCCAACCAAATCCAACAAAGACGCTAAGCCTGTCCTCAACAGCCTCAACAGCAACAACACCTAGGTATTTCTCAAAATCAGACCTTCCCTAGAAATGGTGAGTGTTCCTGTCCCTTTGAAACCAGCTGGAAAGGGGCGCCAAATTGAAGGAACCAACGACGCACGAGGTGCTGAACTCTCAAAAACTGAAATTTATGTGGATTGCCCAGCTTTTTTTCCCCCGTCCTGTTCAGAAACCATCTCTGCCCTCGATGTTGGGCCATTCTCTGAGAAGGATCCCGGAACTGAAGGCTTCGTCTCCCATCCCGAGTTCCGCGCCGGGTCCGGCTTCGCTTCCACGCCGGGGGCTGAGAGCACGGGATGGGTTTCAGTGGAATGCTCAAACCTGCCACAAAGAGATGGTCCCCTGATTGAGGATGTTTTGTGCCTACAGCAACTGGCAGTGTCTTTGGAAACTGACAATTTGTTGCTTTTGCTGCTCCTGGTCCCTATTGTGGGCTATGTGAATGTTGTTCAACATGTTGCTAGTCGGACAATGCTGTTTCCAACATGTCTTTTGAACTGGACATACCTGGACCTGTTTATCAACAAACTGACAGTGAAGTCCAGTTGACCAATATAGATCAAGCCCAAATGGTGTCACGTGATTCAAGACATGGGTGCTGCTTATCAAATCCACTGAGGTTAGGGTTCGGGCCTACGAAGATGGCTATAGCTGATCGTCAATACGCATCCCCGCCGAAACCTACAAATCATCTGATTTCAGCATAGCGATGCCGTAGCAAAGCGTTTCTTCCATGCTGGTTTTAGTTTCCGACCTTTCTGCGTACGGAGTGCTTGACCTCCTTGCCGGACAAGGTGAATGTAGGTGTGCCATGACCTGTTGCCGTGACTTGTCATGCGAGTGGTTGAAATCACATCGCATCTACAACTTATTAGGCACCAAGGGAAGATCGCCGATATCCAGTTTGAAACCATCGTCAAGCAACGCAATGACTTCCACAACACAATCAGCTAGAATGAATGAAACTCTGTGAGCCTCGAAGCCCTCAACAATACAATGTGCTTCCAAACAACGCTACATTTCATGAGAGTCCGAAACAAAGTCAGCATTTATGTCGTTTCTTGGGCTGCCACAGGTGCAACAATTCCAAAAAATGGACTGGGTCAACAGGCTACAATGCTGAAAGGTCAAACTCTAAAGATGTCACTGGTGGAATCTGGAACACCTATGGCATATCCAGCTTCTGCGGGCGAACTGTGTCGATCCTGAGTAAGGTAGTTTGCTGGATGGTTGCGACCACTGCAAAACCAGGCATTACCAACGAGGGACTGAGGCCAGCACGAGGTTCAGTCTCCAATTTCTGTGTTTCTTTCTCGATCCTGCGGCGATGCTTTTTCAGGCAACCTGTAAGTTTGCGTTGCTGAACGGCTGAATGACCAGCGTATAACCGCAAACAACTAACTACGCTTCAAGAAACCCCTTTATTAAGAAGCTTCAGTCCACAATTAGTGGGACCGATCAGGAATCGGAATGACCCCGCACATCCCTCGGAATCAAAGTTGTGCTGCTCAACGCGGGTCGGCTTAACGAGCAAGCTAAGCAACCGTAGCACCAGTGAACCTAAACCTGAAGAACAGCCCAAAGATCAACGAACAAACAAAAGCAAATAAACAAACAAACAAACAAACAAACAAACAAGCAAGCAAGCAAGCAAATTACCACTACGAGCCATCCCCACCCAGATTTGCGCCACCACATTTCTCACAATTCTGCGCAATCACCAAGAAGTGGCATAGTGGCGTTTGGGGGCTGATGACATCGCATCTTTTCGGTGCAGCTAACATCACGCTGTGCCAGTCGGTTCTTAGAAGTTTTATTCCGCCTCGCTGTTTTTCGCGGTTTTGCATTTGACCAGCTCTCACAGGTCCCCAAACGCACACAAACATAGAGCTGCACCTCCGTCTTTCTGACCATGTGAAGGACACCCCTTGGACCCTGCATATCTGTGCCTGACTGGCTCTGGCATAGATCCACGCAGGCACGCTCAGACCCGGATCTCCCGGATGTCCGCGCGCCACACACCACTCTTTCTCTGGGGGGTCTGACATGGCCTGGCCCCAAACACCAGATCTGCGCGTGTCTGCAACTGGGCCTAGACAACACCCAAACCCCGACCTCCGCGTATCTGTGTCTCACCGAATCTGGCATGGCCCCGCACAGACGCTTGACGCCCCACAAAGGCACTCAGACCCAAGCCGGCGCGTATCCGACTGGCTCTGGGCTCTGGGGTCTGTCATCTGTGTCTGACTGGCTATCTGACGGTTCCTGCTGAATCTGTCATATGCATCCGGCTTTTTGGAGCTGCTGGCTTTCAGGCAGAAAAAAATCTAACAGCCCCATCTAAGGGGTGGGGGAACAAACAAGCAAGCAAGCAAGCAAGCAAGCGAGCGAGCGAGCGAGCGAGCGAGCGAGCAAGCAACAAAACAAACAAACAAACAGAAGCAAGCAGGAAAGATACAAGCAACAAAGACAAAGAAACAAACAAACACAGACCCTCCAAGCCGAACCACACACAAACACAAGCAAGCCAGGAAGCCGGCAAGCCAGCGAGCAAGCGAGCAAGCAAGCAAGCAAGCAAGCAAGCAAGCAAGCAAGCAAGCAAGCAAGCAAGCAAGCAACACAACAAACAAACAAACAGAAGCAAGCAAGAAAGATACAAGCAGCAAAGACAAAGAAACAAACAAACACAGACCCTCCAAGCCGAACCACGCACAAACACAAGCACGCCAGGAAGCCGGCAAGCCAGCGAGCAAGCAAGCAAGCAAGCAAGCAAACAAGCAAGCAAGCAAGCAAGCAAGCAAGCAAGCAACAAAACAAACAAACAAACACACAGAAGCAAGCAAGAAAGATACAAGCAGCAAAGACAAAGAAACAAACAAACACAGACCCTCCAAGCCGAACCACACACAAACACAAGCAAGCCAGGAAGCCGGCAAGCCAGCGAGCAAGCAAGCAAGCAAGCAAGCAAGCAAGCAAGCAAGCAAGCAAGCAAGCAAGCAAGCAAGCAAGCAAGCAAACAAACACACAAGCGCACAAGCAGCCACACGAGCGAGACAAGCGAGTGAGCCCGCAAACACACAAACAACTCTAGCCCGTTGCGCAAAACCTTAAAGGGTTGATGGGTTCTGCTGGCCCCTTGTGCCACTTGCAAAGGGGCTCCCCGAAAGTGATCGATTCAGACATACACGAGTGAATCCTGATCCCAGGCTTGATCACAGGAAGGTTAAGAAAAGGGATGACTGTCACCCCCAACATGAGTTGTGTCATCCCATGTTTTCAGTTCGGATGCCGCTACATTCTGCAAATGGCAGTTGCGCAAGTCGACATTGATACCCTTCCACACGAGGCGAGCTCCCAATCAGTCCAAAATGACTTGGATTGTTTTGGGTTGCTGTCCTCAACCAGAAGCTCAAATCTCAGGCCACCCCAAATCACGAAGGAATAGCCCCCCTTTTTTGGCGTAGCTCAAGGGTGTAGGGTCAACATAAAACCACCAGGAATTGGACACACGGAGCCCCAAACGGAGTCCTTACAAAGAAGTCTCCTTTATATAAACTAACTAAGAGCCCATTAAAACATAAGTAGCTCTAGCGCCTGAAGAATCGGCCTCCAATGCAATTTCTTCCAATTTCCTTTGTTGTTTCTGAACAAACTTTAACCGCTCTGTCCTCTTCGGAATCGCAGCCATGTGTCCTGCCGGGCAACAAAGAAAGTCATTCCCTACAAGAAGCACTGAGATGCCCCTTGTCTGACCGAGAGAACGGGGAGGAATTATACGCAACCAGCTCAATCTGGGCTGAAAGCATGGATTTGAAAGTACAGTGTGGTGCAAAGGCACAAACTAATGCCATCCTAAGCAAGGCATTTACCACTACCCATGCATATGTGAGCTTCTAAGAACCTGTAATGCATGGGACACTGTAAACCTTAAAACGCTCGTAAGCAGAAACAACCATCAGCATGCCTTGCGTTTTTCAACATTCAACCGACACGCCATAACGTTAGCCCAGCGGCTGCAAAGCCCTATCCTTCGGCCGACAGGCGAGTTCTTGTGGCAATTGTTGGCCTGTGCCTTTGGCAAAGTAATTAAGAGGAAGAAAAATGATGTGTCAACAACTCTATATCCCAAGAAGTGGACTCAGCGACTTTGCTGCTTCTCTCAATCTCCCCGCTCTGTCCCCATTGCTCTTTATTTTGAATAAGATCGCCATGTTCCCCAGAACACACTTGCAACATTTCTGCAAATATTGAAAAGACTTGTGAGTCCAACCATCGAACACTGGTATGCAAAAGTGCAATCCTGAACACATGGCGGGGGTTGGAAGGGGGCTCTTAAATGTTCCACACGCCGGACAAAGCCAAACCAACAACAGCATGTTTCCCCACATAATGTTGACACTCGATTAGTAAAGGGTACCGGAATAATAGAAAGTTTTTTCCTTATTATGGTTCACACCCATTGTTTAAGGGGACCAGAATAATAGAAAGTTTTTTTGGCCAGGGGGAAAATTCAAAAAAAAACCACAAAGCAAATTTATGTTTAAAAAAAAAATCCCCCCCCCCAAACAATCACACAAAATCCATGTTGACCCCAAAATCCAGCCAGCTGAAACTCAGAAATTTGAAAACCATCCCCAGCCCTGAAACTGCAAACTCTTTATTAAACCGTGCTAAAAAATTGCCAAAAAACAATCAGGACAAGGGTACCCCTCACAGACCCCACAGAACCACAATAATGTGATTGTTTTAGGGTACCACAATAATAGCAAGCCCCCAGCCCCCCCTCCCAGAAAATAAACTATCAGTTGCTTTGCTCAAAAGCATTCCCCTTTCAATTGGTGGCCCACTTGCTTAAAAGCATTCCCCTTTCATTTGGTTGCTCAACCACAGAACCCAAAGCCAGCTGAAACTCTGAAATTTGAAAACCATCCCCAGCCCTGAAACTGCAAACTCTTTATTAAACCGTGCTAAAAAATTGCCAAAAAACAATCAGGACAAGGGTACCCCTCACAGACCCCACAGAACCACAATAATGTGATTGTTTTAGGGTACCACAATAATGGCAAGCCCCCAGCCCCCCCTCCCAGAAAATAAACTATCACTTGCTTTGCTCAAAAGCATTCCCCTTTCAATTGGTGGCCCACTTGCTTAAAAGCATCCCCTTTCAATTGGTGGCACACTTGCTTAAAAGCATTCCCCTTTCAATTGGTTGCTCAACCACAGAACCCAAAGCCAAACCCCCAGTTGACAAGAAGTGGTTGCAATACTAAAGTAGAATTGCAAAAAGGAAGTGGCTGCAATACTAAAGTAGAATTGCAAAAAAGAAGTGGCTGCAATACTAAAGGAAGTGGTTGCAATACTAAAGTAGAATTGCAAAAAAGAAGTGGCTGCAATACTAAAGGAAGCGGCTGCAATACTAAAGTAGAATTGCAAAAAAGAAGTGGCTGCAATACTAAAGGAAGTGGCTGCAATACTAAAGTAGAATTGCAAAAAGGAAGTGGCTGCAATACTAAAGTAGAACTGCAAAAAGGAAGTGGCTGCAATACTAAAGTAGAATTGGGCCCCAAAACCCTCCATTGTTTGGACGTCCCAAAAGTGCACCCCCATTATTTTGGCGCCTCCATTATTCAGGGGGGGGGGGGGGGCCCTTTATTAATCAAGTGCCAACATTATAAATTATGTGACAAAAGGCGTCCTGAAGTCGGAGAGCAAGGACTTCTGCATGCAGAGAACCAGCCGAAAACCGCCACGCGTCGGTTGAGCTCGACTTACGACTGGCGCCAAGCGACGACTCGAACCAAGGAAGCGACGACTCGCCGAGCGGCTTGCCCAGGGTCCTGAGAGACGTATCGGAGGCACAGCTTGGCCTAGGCAACGCTGAATGAAACCCGATGCGGGAAATCCATGGAATGGATGCAAGTGCTCCAAGCGCCCTTTAAGGCATTGCTACCTGGTCCGTGTTGTTTTCCCCAAACAAAATGTGGCAAGAAGTAATCTCTATCTGTGGACACTTGCCACCTGCTTAACTGTTTGCGTGTTGCTTGTTTGCTCATGTCATGAATCAGGACCAGCCACGGCTTCGCTGACCTCAACGGAAACAACCTCACAACATGAAATAACACAAACTGCATCATCTTAGAAATCCATGTTCCGTTTCAGCGATCCTGCTTGCTCAAGTTTAAACATCCACAACCGCCATCTCATTTTTTAGCATATCATGAAGCTGCAGTGGGGTATTTCATTGGCTGCCCAAAGTTTCTCTCTGTGAAAGGGGTTGCCTTTACTCCGATGGATCGAGAACACCACTTGTTCAGGCCTTCTTTCTGCAACCAATTGGAGTTGGGACAGTAAAGTCAACAGTTCAAACATCAAATGCGGGTCTCTAACAGCTTCCCACAGAAACTAGCCGGACTTGTGGTTACCAAAGATCCACTGGCAACTATGGGTCATCGTTGATCAGGGGCATAAAGATGGCAACGTGAGTAACCAACAATATTACTACCACAAATACTTTGAAGGGCCCACCCAAGACCGATTCCCTGGCAATAGTCACGTTCACTGCTGCTGCTGGTTGTATAATTTCTGAGCACTCCTTAGCGTTCAATGTGAGCCGTCTGCTACGCTTGCAGTTGCAGAAGGGGGTACTTGTAGGTGATGCATGTCATCCAAACCCAAGCTGAAAACGCCACACCGCTTAGCGTGGCACATTTAGGGTTTGCTCATCATGGTTTTATCCTGTGGTCCTGAAGATACAACTATTGTTGCTGCCCTCAATGCACAGCACAACATTAACATGGGATCCCCAACACCACCTATCAAACGGTAATGCCACTCAAATCTCGGGCCTGGTTGTTCCTGTGTGTCCAAAGGTCCTGGTCAAAACGGGCACAATTTGCATTTAAAGTCAAACCTCCTTGCCCAGACGGCCAAGGTATGAAAATCAGAGCCTCAGATCATGGAGAGTGTAAGGCCCCCCAAATCGCTGAGCTTGGAAGCAAGCCCTCTTCCTAACTAGCCGGCTATCCTAGGTGTAAGTCGCGCCGCAAAA